AGCCGGTGAGATTTGAACAGCCGAACTGCAGAACTGCAGTCAGCTGAAGTAGCCTGCAGTGCTGCATTTAACCACTGTGCCACCTTGGCTCTAAAGAAATGTCTTCAAAGTAAAACAAGAAACTTCAGTTGCCTCTTGAAAAAAGCATTTTGTGTCTCCTCCCAGTTATTATCAATCACCTAATTTGCCTCTAAAATGATAAAACCTAACAGATTTTTGACAGCTTGAGACTGCCCTTGGACAGAATTGGAAGATGGGCTAAGATGTTACAGTACAGCTAAAAATAACATGATCATTCAGGACAAGATGAAGACAACATCAAAACATGAGCTTTTCTGAGGATATGTTTCTGGCATGGTTAGATGCAAGAGATGAGCTAGTCATATCAAACTAAAAATATTTTTTGTTATTTTAGATCTATTACAGCAGGGGTAGAAATTAATGGATTTAACTGCCGATTGCAGATAATAGCATGGGAACACAGAATTGATTCTGGAGTCACACAAAAACCATGGTGAACGTTCTCATAGTGTGGTATAAACTCCTGGTGTGAAGAAGACATTTGTAGAATAGAGGATGGGATTATTGAAATACATAGCAAGAACCAGTAGGAAAGAGGAGATTCAAAATCTGTATGTTGGCACAATTGTTTTCACACTGATACGATGAAGTGAGTTGTTCCCCTATATAAATATTATACAGGGGAAACATTCTTCCTTCTAAATGACGATTTGCAGAGATACTGCGTTGGTTGACATTTATGTTGCTACATTTTATTTCTGATCATTTCCGCCCCTGCATAATTATTGATGTAAGGTTGTAAAATGGGTATTTATGTAAGAAGGTGTGTGTATGTGTATGTGTGTGTGTTTGTATGTGTATATGTATCTATGTGTAGATGTATGCATGTGTACATACAGACAGACACACACTTTGGGATAGGATCTCTGGTAAGTGACCGGCATGGCAACTGCAAAACCAGTTGGAAACACAGTTTGGAATCTACATGCCATTATGTTCTCTATCCATGAAAAAGTATTGTGCCCAAACTTTTTAACCCTTTCTTAACCCTGTACTTTTCTTTTCAAGGGTGGCCGAAAACTATCAGGAGAACAAGATGTCCCCCAACAACCTAGGCATCATCTTTGGCCCTACTCTAATCCGGCCTCCCTGTAATAATGATGTGTCCATGTCATGCCTGGTGGATTCAGGATACCAGTCCCAGCTGGTTGAATTTCTTATCCTGAACTATGAAAAGATATTTGGGATGGATGACCTGCCTTCAGCTGGACTCTGTGACTGTGAAAACTCTTTGAAACAGGCAAATACTAATGAAGTTCTTTCAAGCAATCAAAGACTTTCCAATGCATCTCTTGAGGTAGGAATCGGGGATGGCCTGGCTTTAAGTGAAATAAATGAGCCTCTTTGAGCAATAGACTGAGATAAATGGAAAACTGGATTCAAGCTACCCAACCTTGAGTGGCTATGGGCTTTTAGTCCCCTGAGTCCAGATGTTATTTCATCTGACTTTGGACGGGCTGGCACTCCCCCAGACAGAGCTGCAATTTGGGATCCTCCTGGACTCACAGCTCCTGCTTTTTGCCCAGATTGGTCCAGCATGCCAATTGCACTTTCTGGACCAGAAGGTCTTGCATGTGATTACCCAGGCCTTGGTCATCTCCTGTTTGAATTACTGCAATGCACTCCCAATGGGACTGCCCTTCAAGACTACCTGGATACTTCAACTGGTCCAGAATGCAGCAGCACATATGGTAATGGGTGCCTTTGGGTTTGCACGTGTAACACCTCTGTTCCTTGAGCTGCACTGACTTCCAGTTTCTTTCCAGGAGTAATTCAGAGCATCTTTAAGTACTGTACGACATAGGGACACATTGCTTGTGGGTCCACCTTTCCTTAAGAACATTTACCCATCCTACCAGATCAGATAGGGTGGGCATGCTCTTAGTCCTGTTATTGCAAACCTATGGCACACGTGCCCAAAGTGGCACATGAAGCCATGTCTCTGGGCACATGCGGCCTTGCTTGTTTGTCTTCCGGGTTTCTGCCACACATGTGCATGCAACTATCAGCTGTCTGCACGCATGGCAGTACCGAAAACTGGTGTATGCATGCACACTGGTCAGCTGATTGTCGTGTATGCATGTATGCTAGAATCTGGAAGTTCAGCTTTTCTGGAGTGCGGCCCTAATGAGTGCGCACATGTGTGTGTGTGACATTTCTGCCTGGCCTTTTTGGCATTCGGTACCGAAAAGGTTCGCCATCACAGTCCTACTCCCTTCCTTTAGATTTTGTCATTTTATAGGAGCTAGGAAGTATGCATTTTCTGTGGCAGCCCCTCCCTGCTCTATGGGACAGTCCGTCCCCTGAAGGTCAACAGGCCGATATCCTCCTAGCCTTCTCCAAACTACTGAAGATCTGTTTTTTCCCCCCAAGTTCTGGGATGAAGTGATTGCATATCTTGGCACCAACTTTTTGTTTTTAATGTGATTGGCTTTTATAGTTTTAATGTGGTTTTTATCTTGTTTTAATTTTTTATTGTGAGCCATCATGTGTTTCTTGTAAGATGGAGCAAGGCTATATAAATGTTTTTTAAAACACTGCCACTTTTCTCATTCTGCATAAAGCACACTGCCAGCCATTCCATGCATGTCTCTCTAAGGTGGCCCTTTATGATATATTCCAAAGAGGCTATAAAAAGCCTGCCTAATTGAAGAAGAAGAATCAGCTTGTAATTGTTATTAGTATTAGTAATATCATAGGGCAGATAAAGGGAACCTATATAGGAATTGCACTTCATTTTACTCAGACAATAATCCTGTAACCTAGGTTGGAGTAAGAATGTGTTTCTTGGCTAAGTCCCTGATCTAACCCCCAAAACATTACACCAAATATGTAATTCAAATATGTAAGAGAAGCAACATAGAACTAAGAAGAAATTTCCTATCAATTAACCAGTGAAACAACTTGCCTCCAGAAGTTGTGAATGCTACAACCCTGGAAGTTTTAAAGAAGAGATTGGACAGCCACTTGTCTGAAATGGTGTAGGGTTTCCTGCTGAAAAGGGGGTTGGACTAGACCTCCAAGGTCCCTTCCAACTCTGTTATTCTAAATTCTAAAATATAGATCCTCAGTGTTAGCAGAACTAAAGGGCTGAGTGGATATTCTGTCATTTTTGTTTTCTCAAACTACATCTTTATTTTGATATTTTAAGGTACCATTAAAATTATTATCATAAATAGAAATAAAAATTGGAACTACAATGGATGTTTCTCTTTAGAAAACCTATAACACTAAAAAATTTTCAAAAAGCAGCACAGATTTTACTTTAGAAAATAAAAAAATGTCTAATATCACCCTACCAATCTCTCACACCGCTTTCGTGCTGCAATTAGGTAAAAATTGGTGGAGAAACTCAACTCAACAGATTCATAGCAATATTTTTTCCCCCAAACAGAGCTCTGCCTCCAAGGTATGTTTGGGTGAAGATGATTGTAGAAGTGTGGACAGTTCCTTCATTGAGGTCAAGCAGAAAGACAGCGAGGAGCAAACTGTCAACCCCGTAGGTAATTTTTCTTCTATAGCAAATTGTTTTTTAAAGGAGTATAATGTTGAGAAATCCTCATTCTACCTCAAATGATTAATTATCTGAAATATCATCTTCTTTGGAATGAGAAACGGCAGCATAAGGCAGTTCTGAAATTCTAATTAATGATGCCATCTAAACTGAGTTAATTAGGATGACTTTGTCTTTCCAGTGGAAGAGAGTTTTGAAAAGTGACAGCATTCTCCTAAAGGATGCACAGGATGGAATACCTTAATGCTGAAATTTATAAAGGTTTAAACTATGTTATATGAAAATCACATATAGGTACAAAATGGAAAGTGATCATATGTACATGCCTGGCTGCAAAGCTGGCTTCATTTAAAACAATTCTATGTAGGTAAGGCCAGGAATTGTCATGTTGCCACCAACTATTTCCACCCCAAAATTCTTTGTAGGAGAAGAGCAGGTGGAGCTAGGAGGCAGAGTTAAGTGCATCATCACTTAACTTTATAGTCCTTGTGTTCCCACAAGAAATTGAAGTCCAATCCCTCCTGAATTCTGTTGATTTTTTATCTGGCAACAATTCAGTTGACTAGATTCTTGTGTATTAGCTGGAATAAATCTTCTATACTGCAACTTTTCTCATAGTCCTGATTCTTTGTATCTGGCATTCTTTGAAGTAAAACCAGGGCATGTTTTCCAGAAATTGTCTGCTTAACTATTATACAAAAGAGGATGTTGAGGATGGAACTTTTGGGCAGGTTCAGCTGGTCTCTTATGTTTTAGGATAGCAAACAGCATTAATTGATCGGAGTCCGAGATGCAGATACATCAATAAAAAATAAGACAGCTATAAAATATAGATGGTTGATGGATTTGGTCTTTTATGAAATACCTATAACAGAGTTTGTGGCATATGCAAAAAAAAAATATTGTAAGAGATCTGTGTTATCTTATACCAGTCAAAGTTTATGGAGAGTGGACAACAATGTGCTTCCTCAAAGAATCCAGCTAATCTTTCATTGCTTTTAGAAAAACACCATGTGCCTTTAAACTCATGGACTTCTGGGTCATACATGGAACATGTATCATGCCTTTCCTAATTCTTATCAGATTCTTTTTTTTCTTCTCATCCAGAGCTGAACAGGACAAATGACATAGAACTGCAAGACTTTATACTTGATCCAGAAGCTACTCTCAACCCACAATCCAGGGGACGCTTCAACCGGATGCCAATAAAACATACCCGTACCATCATCCCCCGAGTTTCCAGTCTGCCCCTGCTGGCTGCTGTTTTGTCTAATTCAGAGGCAGCCGGTAGCCGCTTGGAGGCAAGTCCAAGTAGACGCAGTGCCTCACCTGATACCTCTGGAAAGCGTAAACATTTTGAGATCACACCAGAAACTGCTAGGATTGTCTCCAAGCTGCAGACTCAAAATGGAACAGAAGATTATTATCAAGCTCAGCTTGGGGCAGCTCTCCAGGAAAAGCCTCTGGATGCAGTGGTAGAAAATAAGACTGAATCCCGAGCTAAAATATTGCTTGGGAAATGAACTGGGCAAAGGACTAAAAGATATTCTGAAATGCATACATCACAAAACATCAGGGCTCTGTAGTGTATTTGGAGAACAAACAAACCAGCCCTGACTAAGTCTAAGAGGAATAGGACTGTTTCCAAAGAAAAGGGTGAACTAGAACTGAGTCGCTGAGATACTAGAAACTATAAACCCAGTGAAGCAGACTTTCAAAAGGGGAATATTACTGCAAAGGCACTGTGGGGAAGCAAAACATTCCTAGGGAAAGTGGCAGGAATTTTGCAGAAATGGACAGAGAGCCATGGAAACAACTGTTCCCAATGGCCAGATGGTAAGAGCATTCAAGATGGTACAGGGTTATGTTTGACAAGGATAATGTGACTGTGTTGAAACCACATGATGGAAGTTTTGATCAGATTACTATCTGCAAAAATGTATCCCGAATGTTTAAAATGATCAAAATGATCACCAAAGAAAGATAAATTCTATGTAAATGTGTGCAAAAAAACCCTCTTTTGAAATCTTGAAATGCCATTTCTCTAGCTTCTGAGCAGCAACATGTTTAGGCATTATCAATCCTGGAAATGTACTTGTTTTTTAAAAAAATGAAATTTATTTTTGGGAAGCTGAGTTCTGTATTAATTGTATGTATCTGCGCTTTTTTTTTAATCCGTTTGTACAGAATGGTCTAAAAATAGCATTGGCTAAACAGTGTAGTGGTTCTCTACTGAGAACTGCTAATATTAGGAGGAAAGCATGAAAGAGTATATCTAAGAAGGCAATGCTATGTTTCTTGTAGAGAACGCCTGGATAAGGAGATGGGGCAGGGCAAGTAGAGGGTTGATACGGTGTTGCTGGAATATTTTCTTATGAACATGTTAACACCTATACGGTTCTCTTTGTGTAGAGTTGCCAGTTGGACATGAATGTTTATGGGCAACTTCCCACTATATATATTTCTTAAATTCCATCAACCATCTCTCCTCACTTTTTGTGTAACATAATTGGTTGAGTGTAATTGGTTGAGTTCACACAGTGCATTAAATACTCTGGTGTGTTTTAGTCTTGATTTGATTAGGAAGCTCTAATGCTTGGTTTACACACGATGCTAAGGCCAAAATCATGGTTTACAAACCACAAAGTGTGTTTATATCAGTGCTGGGTTCCTACCTGTTCAGACTGGTTCAGCCAAATCGGTAATGGTTTGGGGGCCTGGGTTGCTGGAACCGGCAGCGATCCAGGCCTGCCATACCCCCAAACCGGTTCTCCGGGCGGCACCATAGGTGCCACCATTTGTTTTTTTGCTTCTGTGAATGCACAGAGCAATTTTTATTGTGAAGCGCCCACGAGTGAATTGGCAGAAGTGACTGCTGGAATCCACCCCTGGTTTATATATACCTAAACATAATGTTTTACATAAAACATAATCCCTAGTGGCATGTAACGGAGTGAGCTCCCGTTACTTGTCCCAGCTTCTGTCAACCTAGCAGTTCGAAAGCACCTAAAAATGCAAGTAGAAAAAGAGGGACTACTTTGGTGGGAAGGTAACAGCGTTCCGTGAGCCTTCAACATTTAATCCTGCTAGCCACATGACCACGGNGACATACAGTCATACAGAAAATTACAACTGAAACTTGTTTTAATTTTATTCCAGAGATCACATACGGGACGAATCTTTACTAGTTCAGAAGGCTTATGCTGGTATCATTGGAGATCTAGCTTGTTGTCTTTCTGGCAGCTTTAATTTAAGGCCACCCTCAGCTGAACTTAGTAACCAGTTGAAAATTAACAATATCCTCTGTAGCAGATTTATTGTTACTTCTCAAGGAGAAAAGCATACAGTGAAAGCTGATGTCTTTAAACCTTTTTTATATCTTCTTGAAAACAATATACCTAGCCCAGTAAAGCTTGGTAAGTTACTTAAAACATACTTTTATTGTTTTTTTTCCTAACTTAATGTCATTTTATGCATACTTCTTTAATAAGCAAGAATTTATAGAATGGGAGAGGTCCTATTTAGTATTATAATCAACCATGTTTGCTATACAGAGTCTGACTCCATCACCCCACCCTATTTTTTGCATTCCTTATACAGTAATAATCATTCTGTTGGCATAGAACATTCCTCGATAGGCTATGTTTGGGGTGTGGATGAGTTTACACTTTCAGCTTTTTTTCTATGTTTCTGGAAACCCTGAATTTTTTCCAGGCATCCTAATACTTGTACTCTTTTCCAGCATCCTTGTTTTGGCTAAATCAGCACTTTAGTATGTCCGAGGTGTTGCTCGATAATAGAGCATATGCTTTGTTTTCAAGATGCCCCAACTTCAATCTCCAGAGTCTCCAAACACAAAAAGTAAAACAGCCTGAAATCTGGGAGAGAGTGTAGGAGCCCCCCCCCCCAAAAAAATTCCTTTTCCTGTAGGGGAGGATTTATTTTATAAAAATAAAAATTGCTTAAACAAAAGTTGGTAATTTTCTAAATCTTAGATACTTACTTATGTGTCTATACTTGTTTTGTTTTATCAAAGTTCGCCAACTTTTCTAGCTTTGTGGACCAGCGGGATGGGCGGAGAGGAGGAGGTGGTTCTATGGACATGCTCACCTGCCACTTCTGTGGGTTGGTTCTGAACAACTCACAGCTCAGTAGTGGGCTGCGGCTTAGGGCTTGGTGAACCTTGATATATATAATTCTAAGGAGTCTTGTATGCAGTTTCATTTTTCTTCCCCCCACTTTTTTTAGCAGAAGGGTTGAATTGCTTACATCCATTTACATTAAAATGTCTAATTAACCCTGTTTTTCACTGCTTTCTCAAATTTAGAGGAAAATCTTTAGCCTGACCACCCAAGAGTTTTGACAAATTTTGTGACTGGCTGGCTTGTTTGGATCTTTCAACCAAGCACTTGTTGCCTTTTTTTTTAGAGAGCCAGTCTGGTATAGCAATTAGAGCAGGGAGACCCAGATTTTAGTCTTCCCTTAGGTACATAAGCCAAAGGAGTAATCTTGGGCCAGGCCCTCCCTCTCAGTTCTAATCAGTGCAGTTGGCTGATAAACAAAACCTTTGTTTCCTCATACATTGATTATTGCACTGTAAGAACTAAGTGAGGGCAGTGCAAAACAAGTGAACATGCAATCATGTACGACAAATGTTAAGAAAATCAACTGTTTGCTTCCTTCATATGCTACTGCAAAGACTTCAGCATTTCTAAGTTTCTTAGTCCTTGTTACCAACTGGCTGCTGCTTACCACTTAGCCTTTGACTGTACATTGGATTCTATGTCAATTTTTTCCATATTACCAGTTGCACACTACACCAAGGCAAATTATCCTGCTCTTCCTTTCACATGCAACCTTCTCTCCAATTCATAAACACAAACCTCCCTCTCAACCCAGACCACCACATCCAAATGCAGAAGAACCTCTTTTTATGGTTGAAAAAGAGCTGTATTAATATCTTAGTGGAGGGAAGAAAAGAAAACTGAAGGAGGGCNCAGCCTCAGGATCGAACGGCTGTGTTGCGCTGTTGCAGCAGCACTACACAGCAGTCATGAAGTGACCACGCTCATGAGCAGCCGCCCGGCAACCCTCTTTTCCAGCCGGGCACAGCACCATTCACTGACCTAGGGGTATCGCCAAGCCGCATGAGCTCCTTCGAAATGCCCCTAGGTCTGTGAATGCCACTCTGCATGGCTGGAGAGGGGGGTTGTGTTTCCCGCTGCATGACTCCAAGGCTCATGATGCTCTTGCCTAACTCTCCCTGCGGAGCCAGGGCGTCTCTGCTGCTGCCGCCGCATGGCTTTTTCTGCAGCTTTCAAAGTCTTCTGGCAGTTGCCACTCTGGGACTACGCTCTATGGTTGTGGGTTGGCTGCCGGCAGAGCGAACTCCCAGAGCAGCCGCCCGGCAACCCCAAAACAATAAGCCTTCCCCTGATAATAAGGCCCAAGCCATATTTTGTGGGTCAAAAGAAAATAAGACCCCATCTTATTTTGGGGGAAACACGGTATGTTAAATCCAGGATTTAGTTTTAATTCAATTTATGCTCCTCCACCACCACTAGCTCTTCTTTTTTGGGGGATAGGCTTTTGATAAGTGTGTGCATGTGTTCATGCATGCAATATATAAATGCATGCATGTATATATGTTTAAACACACACATGCATTATGCAGATGCAAGTGTTTCACTTCATTTTATTTTACAGAAAAAGATTCCAGAATTGGTTTCAGTGGGACGTGGTGACCCTAAATTAGTAAAGGGGAGCAAAACAGATAATGCACAATATTTTTAATCTAAATAAATATTTCTTTCTGTTTACCTTTTCCATTAGATATGGAGGTGAATTTGTTGTCCTTTGGGATAAATATGATAATGTTAGAAAGATTCTTTCAGTTCATTTTCTCCCATGTTTTTAACAAAACAATATTTTTGCAAGAGCGCTATATGAGAAACATCAGTAATTTATATTATTGGAGGGACACAGGGCATTTCAAAGAGGTATATTGAGATATTTTCTTTTGTTTACAAGCCTGGTTTGCTTTTTATTACTTCCATTATTGGCTTCCTAGTAATGTATGCTATATTGCCAAGAGGTATCTATACGAGTTTCATTTCTGATAAAGAAGTATTTTGAGAGTACATGGAGCTATTTTGTAAACAGAAACCCCTGCTACTTGTCCTACCAGTTTTTAGAGTGCCCTTCAACACTTTAAAATTTTCAGATTTGCATATTGATCTTGAAGATTCCTGGTTTGTTGCACCATTTTCATCAGGGATATGCAATTTAGATATATGTTTGATATAGTTGTCAGGTCTTGTCATGTGCTACACTGTAGCTGGTATGGCTGGTGTGTCAAGGTTCCAAGTAAAATGTTCCGAGAAAGAAGTCCATCTTTCTTCAAAGTCTGTTTATTAGGAACATATCAAATTGGCACGGTCTTGGTGCAATTCCGACTCTGGCCAGACTTCGGAATTACATCCAGTAAAAATTAAAAGTTTGAAACTCCCCCTCCCCCCATAGTCACAATCTCCAATCAATTCTTAGTCCTTAGTCCATAGTCCGATGACTCCAAATTCCACCTTCCTCCAGCTGCAGGCACCTTCTCAGTTCCTACGAGAAGGAATGCCACCTAGCCATAACATTCCCCCTTTATCTCTGCAACCCTCCTTCCTACTGCTAGAATGTAGCGAACCTGAAGCACCTTTAATTCCTTTGCAGAAAACCTAAAAAAGCTAAGAAAAGAATAGACAAAGGCTACCACTAAAATACGACTACACATATGTCAGCTTCAAGGTCAACACAATGTCCATTTTGAGAAGGTTTTAAGAGATGAAATAAGTAACTGAAGAATTTAAAAAACTTAAAGCACCCAATTTGCTTTTTTCAAGCCCACCTATTATAGTTGCTCCAAATTTTTGATGCACGGGGGNTTTTTTCCATTGTTGATATAATGTCTTAATTCTTCATAATGACAAAGCTATTAAAATGTATGTACAGTGATTAGTGTATTCTATTATGTCTAAAGCTAAGATACACTGTAGCATCTGCTCATTTTGTTAACTTTTATATATTTCCAAAATAGATGAATATTTCACAGCAGGCACACAAATGTTTGGGAGTTTGAATCTCATGAAATACAAATTTGAGTTGAAAGGGAGGTAAAATGTATTTCCCCGGTGACAGAAATATCACAATAATTGGCCATAGCTTCATTTAACCAAGGTATTTATTTTGATGAAGAAATATTAATTGCTGATCCAAACTGGCAGCTCAGTTTAATGAATATGTTAATAAAATATATTTTCTGTCACATTTTCTAATTTTCTTCCATATGTCTAAAAAGTACCAATTATGGAAATGACTTCCATCTCACCACAGCTTAATGAGTATTGCACATAATTCCCTACTTCATTAAATCTTTTGGTGAGACATTAGCAGCTGAACACTACTTAATGATAAACATTTTTTGGAAGCAGCAAGGAGTCTTATGGACTTTCTACATGCATATTGTATTTGATCATGGCAGATTATACATGTGAATACGTAGCATATATAAATATGTTTTGCAGCAGTATAAAGAAGTAAACTTGATGTTTAATGGTATTTGCTTTGATAAAATAGTGCCTAATAGTTTCTTTAATCTTTGTAGCGTACCTTCACACTATTTACCAAGCAACAATACATTTGGTGGTGAATTCCATTCTCAGCCTATGCACTCTCAACCAGCATATTCTTATTATCCGGAAGATGAAGTGCAACGTTTCTACAAATGGTCCTCCCCACCAGGAATAATCAAGATCATGTCAATTCTCATACTAGTCATGTCTATTGGGGTCTTTGCTTGTATTGCTTCTACTCTGGCTTGGGATATGGACATGTATGGAACTGGTTTAGGGTATTCTGGCTATGGAGGTTTTGGAACCGGCTATGGTGGATACCTTGGCGGCAGTAGTTTTGGAAATTATGGTGGCTATAATAGTGGATATGGCCTTGGAGGAAATTACATTGATCCACGAGGAGCAAAAGGCTTTATACTTGCAATGGCAGCTTTTTGCTTTATTGCTGGATTGATAGTTTTTGTGATTGGTGTTACAAAGACTAAAATGGCCAGGACAAGGAAATATTATCTCTTTGTGATAATAGCAAGCTCTATATTGCTCTTCTTGATGTTCATTGCTACAATCGTATATACACTAGCAGTCAACCCCACTGCACAGTCTTCTGGATCAGCGATGTACAATCAGATTTATATGTTGTGCAGCCAGTTTTACACACCTGCAACTACTGGGCTCTACGTGAATCAATACTTATATCACTACTGTGTGGTGGAACCTCAGGAGGTATGTAAATGAATTAGTATTATCCCCAATGCAAAATATTAGTTATATTTGAAGTAAAAATAGAATTAAAACTTAGTTTTATGCAGAAATGATTTCACTTGTCTGTCCAGGACACAGAACGTTAGCCACCCATTTTTGCAGCAGTATGATTTTTTAAAAATTCTTACTATAGGGAAACAACAAAAAAAATGGAAATGTCTTGGTTCTCATTCCTTATAAACAGATTCTCACACAATGTTCACCAGAGGTTTGATGTTTTTTGGGGGAGGGATATTAGTGCTCTGTAAACTTGTTTGTTTTCTTGACCCAAACTAGATAGCATCATCAATGTTCCAACATTGTTGATGTTTTGGGCTACAACACCCATAATACCTGCCATTATCTATGGGATTATTGAAATTATAGTACAGTTCATTAGGAGAATACCACCTCCATAGCTACCCAGTTTAGCTAAGAATTAAACTATAAAATGAGGTGGAAACTAAAACTTGGTTTATTCTATCATGTAAGTGCAGGATTCCAATAACGGTTTGACTGCATTTGTAAACCATTATATGCTTGTATCTTTACATTATCAGTCCAATTCTATGTCCCCCAATTAAAATTCTACATATATAAAACCTTTTGTTATATGTATTGTCTGCAGTTGTTTCTATTTGATTACACTAACTTATGCTATTGCCAAGGGAAATTCTGTAAATAGATAAGAATTTGAGATATATCTAATGCATTTGTAAGGGATGCGGTGGCTCAGTGGCTAAGACGTTGAGCTTGTCAATCAGAAAGGTCCCTAGCACTGCGTAATGGAGTGATCTCTTCTTACTTGTCCCAGCTTCTGCCAACCTAGCAGTTCGAAAGCACATAAAAATGCAGGTA